GGTTAGGATAGATATATAGTTACATTCTCTTAATGAATAGAGGGATTTGTTCTAATAGTGTTTGTAAATAGGATATCATGTCTGCATCTTGTACAGTAAATAACCACTAGGAAGAGAGTACGCAATGTGTAATTACTGAAACTGTCCTACCAATTTGATTTGAAAAAAAAAGAGTAACTACTACGAGAACAATATGCAATGTATTAATTATTGTAACTGTCCTACTATCCTGTTTTGAAACTGTCTCATTACTATTTGTTTCTCAGTAAAATTTAAAAAAAAAGACCAAATAGCCTTTTTTGCCTCATCAATTTTCTTTGTATTGCTAGTTTGGGTTGCAACTTCCTAATTTCTTTTTTTTTTTTTTTTTTTTAAGGTGGAAGTTTAGATCAATATAGGGAAACCCATCTTTACTAATGTAAGTGTTTAGTGTTATAATTTTCCCTGTTAATGCTGAGTTCCTCAAATTTTGATTGGCTGTATTTTTATTTTCATTTGGTTCACATATTTCCTTAAAGTTCTACATTTAGAAATGTGATTTCCCAAAAATTGAGAGAAATACCCTTTTTTAGCACTTTTCTTTGAGCTGTTATGTATACTTATTTTTTAATCTGAAAATACTATTTCTCCTCCACTTCTGAAGGCTATTTTTATTTTTGCTGCCAAACTCTAGGTTGACAGTTCTCTTTATGGGAACTTCTTGATTTTTCTTGAGAAACTGTCATTCAAACAGTTTTTCCAGGGCCAGCCCAATAGCTCTGTGGATTAAAGAACCTGTTTAGGCAGATGTAGTGGCCCGATGGTTCAATCCCTGGGGCCTGCCATGCCGGCCCTGCCCCTGGGGCAGGCTGAGAGCCACAGAGACTGAGTGAACTATTGCACGTCTGTAATCCCTGCTCCTGGGAGGCTGATTACAGGTGGATCACTACAAGTCCGATCTACATAGTGAGACCCTACAGACCCTGTCCTAAAAAACAAAACAACAAAAAACAAATCACATAGTTTTCCCCCTATATATGATGTGTAGCTTCTCTCTAGTTGCTTTCAAGATTCCTTCTTACTGCTGGACTTGGTTAAAGTCCTTATGTTATATATATTCCATGTGCAGTGATTCTACTCTAGTGGGAAGGGGCAACTGAACCCCACAGAGATGAAAATTCACGAATATTGCAGGGCAGAGGATGACAGAGATGAGAACATGTCACTATTCTGTGGTGGTAAAAGTCTAGGCTCCTCTAGGCTCCATATTTGGTCAATACTGGCAGGGAGTGGGAAGGGGGCAGAGTTGGGAGGGGAGGGATATTGGGAGTCAGGGCTCTCCACTTGGTTTCCCTCTGATACTACCCTTGTGGGAAAGGACAACTGCACACACAGGATCACCTCTCTTTCTCATTTGCTGACAAATGTGTAAGATCTGAGTGTCCCCTAACCCATGGTATTCTGCAGGAGAAAGGTTTCTATCTTTCTAGGCTTCTCTCCTTTCTGTTCTTCGGTCAAATTTTCTTAGGGCTGTGTGTGTGTGTGTCTGTGTTAGTGGGTATTACTTGGTCATAGACATCCTGGCTGAGATACTGAGGAAACAAAATCTAGAGAAATGCTACATAATTTGTTGATGTCCTGCATTTTTTTTAGCTGATTTATTGTGTCCTCCCTACTTTGAAAGTCTTCTTACATATTTTATATATAATTTCCAGAGCTTTTAGTGTATTTTTTGGGAGGGATGGAAGCAAACTAATTCTACACAGGTAAACAGGTATCTAGTCCACATTGTGCAATAACAGAAGCACGTGTGTATTTGTTATTAAGAGATGTGATTTAACTAAATTCCATGTAGCCAAAATAGAAGATGAACATTAAGAATAAGAAGAACAATACTAACAACAGTTATTTTAAAACTGTCATCTTCCATAGAAATTTTACCTTTCCCAGATGTCTTCCTGATCTTTGGAATGGTGAATTTCTTCAAAGAACTCACTTCTATACCAGTATTTGGGAAGGGTTCCCTAGTTGAGCTCATTTTCCGTAATGTCTTCTGTTTAGAAATTTCTTTCATTTCCATTTTGTTTGTGGCCTAAAATCAACCCAAAGTTATGAAGCAAATGGTCAATAAATATTTAAGAGGTGATAGCAATAAACTCATTAAAAGCTTTAAAATGGAACTGAATAATGATATAGTCTTAACTTACATGGTCAGCAGGTTTTAATCTTAATTAGCCAAATTAACCTATATAAGAAATGAATTAATAATTTTTGTTTTTATAGTAACATTAAAATTGTTAAAATCCAGCTAAAGGACATGGTGGCACTCACCTGTAATCCCAGCACTCAGAGGCAGGTAAGACAGGAGGATTGCTTCAAGTTGGAAGCCAGCCTGGGCTACATAGTATGTTCAAGATCAGCCTGCACTACATAACAAGACCTTGTCTCAAAACAACAACAAGAACAAGAAGTCTTTAGTTTTGGGCCAAAAAGATAGCTCAGTGGATTAAGCACTTGCCTAGAAAATGCAAGGACCGGGGATACAGCCCTGGTGCCACATGCCGGCCCTGCCCCCAGACACGCTGATGTGGTCATGGAAACTGGGTATGGTGGTGCCTGCCTGTAATCCCAGAACGAGGGAGGCTGAAAACAGGAGGCTCACTATGAGTCTGAGCTGCACAGTGAGACACTGTAACAACCAAATACATTTTAAAAAATCTAATATTTAAAAAGTCCTCAATTTCTAACAATTTCTTTATTATTTGTATTATTATAATTGGGTAACCAAGACCTTCTCTGTCTTAAAAATGTAAAACTTCCTGACATAACTGTTTAGTAAAATTCTTACCAGATGATTTTTTTCAAAACATTTTAAAATCTTTTATTTATTTGGTACAGGGTCTTGATACTCACAATACTGGGGAGGCTCACAGTGATCCTCCTGTCTCAGCCTTCCCAGTGCTGGAATTACAGAAGTATGTCACAACAACCAGTTTTGGGGTGGCAGAACATGTGGTTCTGGGGATCAAACTTGGGTCCCTGCACTTGCCAGGTAGGCGCTTAGACCACTGAGTTATCTCCCCAGCCCAAGTAAAGTACATTAAAAGCTGTATCTTGTGAAGGAATAGTCTTGGAACTTTAGTCACAAAACAAATTCTGAGGTTCTTCTGCAAAGTTCTGAATGATTAAGAAATGTAATTATCTCCAATAAATACAAGGTTAAGTCAAGTAATACAGGTGATAAACTATAAAAGTACTTAAAATAAGTGAAGAACGAGGTTGAGACTATGGAATGCAGGCTGGGTGTAGGTGGCTCACACCTATAACCCGAGTACTTGGGAGGCTGAGGCAGGAGGATCATGGGGGTGAGTCTGAGAACATTCTGCCTTACAAAGTGAGCTCAAGGCCAGCCTGAACTTCATAGAGACTCTCTGTCTCAAAAAGCAAAAAACTAAAAAAGACCACAGACTGATGAGATAAAATATACTTCAACTTTTTGATTGGCAAACTACAGGATAGGCTTTGGGCCAAATCCAGTCTAACATGAACTACACAGCAAGACCTTGTCTCAAAAAAAAAAAAAGTTTCTCATATGTCACTTAAATAATTACATGAAATTCTAATTTCACAATCTATTGTGAGTTTTGCTGGGACCAAACCATGTCCATTCACTTACCTACTGTACAAGGCTACTTCCCTCTTAGAAGAGCACAGTTAAGTGTGAAATAGACCACCAGGCTTACAATGAGTAAAATATTTAAATTTCTAGTCTTTTACAGTTTGAAAACTCTACTACAGGTGAATTCATTTAAATATCAAAGAGCTTGTTTTCAAAAAAAGTCTCATGATTTCCATTTGAAGGCTTTTTCTCCTTTACTTTCCCCTTGTATCAATCATTTCTGTTTATTAAAATTTTTCCTATACTTTCCTTTTCTGTATTTGAACTGGCTCAAACTTGATCTTTAAAAACCCAAAATTTTACCAGTGAGGCATTTGCCCTTGCCTAGCTCAATTCTACCCACTCTTCAGTCTACTTTAACTTATATCTCCATTACTCTACCTAAATAGCAATCTTTAAAACCACTAATAACTTCCTGATCAATCTCTTTATTTCAAAGTTATATTTTAGCTCTTACTATATCTAGGCTTTTCTCTGATACTCTGACAAACCTGTTATTGAAACACTACAGTCAACGTCAGTCTTCTATAACTGCATCATCACAGTTTTTATAGTAACCTCTCAGTTCTGCTGTCTTTTTCTCATTGCTGAGGCAAAATACCTGATTCAAAATTAAAGGAGGAGAGGTTTATTATGGTTCAGTTTGTAACGGTTTCAGCTCATAGTTGCTGGCCCCAGGGCAGGGCGGAACAGAAGACGAATAACAGTTTAGAGCAGGCATAAGGCAGTACAGCAGAAACAGCAAGTGATCACCTTTTCCTGTCCCATATATTTTTATCCAGGCTACTCACCTTTCATTGTACCATGAATCAATCCCAGCATCACACATCCTAGATGCAACCATTCCATAAAGCCCCACCTCTGACTGCTTGAGGCTTTTGAATACAGGCTTTGGAATATATAAATCATAAATAGTTGCTTTCTTGGCCTCTCTCCCCCACCACCCCCATCTTGGACTCTCAGTAATTTATCTCTCTCTATTTGGCCTTTACTACTGTTTTTTTTTTCTCTTATAATAAAAAAGAGGGGGCCTGGCCCTAGCTCAGTCCTTTAAGTGGCTGCTTTCCACAAAGCTGTCAGCCTCAGGTTCCTGGAGTTCGAACCTCACAACTCTCCCGCTGGCCAAAAGTGCCCTGAAGGCATTCGAGGAAGGAAAAAAACAAAAAAAACCCCTTATAATAAAAAAGAAATTCTCTTTAAAAAATATTTCACTCAGGTTAACTTTTTCAAACTCAACAAGAATATAACCTTGTGGGGATCAGGATGCTCCAGGGTACAACCCATGCCTAGCATGTTTGACTCCCCAGTATAGCCCCCAAAAGGAGGTGCCCTTGTGGTCTTAATTTGCCTTGAATGTAAGAATCAATGAGGCTGAGCTTTTTTTCCCCGCAGAATCATTTTTCCTATCTTTTAATCTGTTTTTTTTTGTAAACAGAAAAGGAAATAATTTGTAAGAATTCTATATATGCAGAAATTAGTTTTATTGGCCACATATAATATTTTGGTCTTCAAACTATTTATGGCACTTTCCTTTTCTTTTCTTTTTTTTTTTTTTTGGTGGGGATATGGCACTTTCCTTCCACAGAAACTTTCATTTTTGTTTAATTTCTTTCCTTTATTAGATATTACCAACAGAACACTCAATTGTAGCAGTTTACTTCTTGTCAACCTGATAAGACACAAATTTCTTGATGTGGTTTATGTTAACCATTTTTTGAGACTGATCATCTACCGAGCATACTCATTTGTCATTTATATGTTCACATCTTTACAATGCATGTTTAAGTTTGTAACCACTTTTCTATCAAATTGTTTATATACCTGCAAGGAAGTTTCTTATCAGGTGCCAACTGCTGTAAACTATCATACTGTTGCCAATAATTCTTTTCTTTAAACTGTCTTCATTTAACATAAATTTTTAACTTTAATGTAGTCAACTACAAACATAAATACAGTATTCCTTTACTTTTTTGTGTCTGATCAACTTGATCATAAAGATAAACCCTATCTTCTCTTCCAAAACTTTTACAGGGGACCTGCCGATTAGCTCAGTTGTTTAAGTGCCTGTTTATGCAAACACAGGTGCAGGATAAAAATCCTTCTCAAAACTTTTACAGTTCACCTTTATCAAATCTTTACTTTCCATAATTTTTTTTTGTTCAAGGTATGAAGTCAATTTTTTCATATGATTATTAAACTGGGGTAGTATTTATTTCAACATTTCTTATCTGTTTTACTTATAATGCTATATCTGACATAGTTTTCCACAGTCATGAACTCTGGGCTGTCTTCCATTTCATTAGTGTCTTTCTGCTGCATTTCTACACCCATACCACACTGTAAAATAAATTTTAATGTGTGTTTGGGCAAAGCTAAAAGAAAAAAAAAAAAACCTTGTTTTCCCTAGGATCTTTGTGCTAACACACACATTTTATTAATTATTTTTGAGACAGGGTCTTCCTATGCAGTTGAAATCAAGCTCACTATGTAGTCCAGGCTGTCACTGAATTCATAATCCCCATCTCAGCCTCTCAAGTGCTGGGATCACAGGCATGCATCACCACACCTGACAACACAGATATTTTATTTTATTTATTTATTTTTTATTTTTTGGCAGAACCGGGGATTGAACTCAGGCCCTTGCGCTTGCCAGGCAAGCACTTATTTTACTGAGCCATCTCCCCAGCCCCAACATAGATATTTTAAATCAGCCTTGTTTAATAAAAACTTACTAATGTTTTAATTGGAATTTCTCTGAACCTAGTTTAGCGGTCAATTCTGGGAGAAATGAGAGTTACATTAGTCTTCTTATCTGTTAACATGGTGTATTTCTCCTTATTCATGTCTTTCAATAAGCTTTTATAATATCTTACATGAGTTTTACATATTTTATAATACTTAAGGAGCAATATAATTTTACATTACTATATATGGTATCTTTAATGGTTACATTTGATTCACTACTAGTATGTTTTAAATAACTATAATAATAGCTAACACGTATGTAACACTAGCTACCAGATACTTTTCTAAGTGTTTTAGGTATACACTGACCCATTTAATCTTCACAATGTCCTTTAAGAGGCACCTTCAGGGGCTGGTGAGATACAGCTCAGTGTGGTTTGATCCCCAGCACCACATGCCCTGCCAGCTCCACCCTCAGGGTGGGCTGAGCCAGCCCCCCCCCCAAAAAAAAAGAAGCACCTTCATTTTAAAGGAGAAAGGTAAGTGTAGGGAAGTTAAATAATGTGCTGAATGACACATAACTAGGAAATGATGAAGTGCTGCAATTCTAAATTAGGAAATATGATGCCAAAGCAAATGCATTTGATGAGGATGGACTGATTATGTATTTGGTAGAGTCTCACTGCACAGCTCGGACTCATAGTGATCCTCTTGCTTTCAGCCTCCTC